AAAAAAAAAAACAAAAAACACACAACCTGCCCCCCACCAAAAAACCCCCAAACTGGCACATGGAGCAGCAGCAGAGGAACATATTCCTTGTGGCAACAAGCAAAGCCCAGAAACAAGGGAAAACCAAACACTTTCCACTCTGCATTGCAACTTGAGAATCAGATGCACAACTCCACACATTACACACCCTAACTGGAGAGCCAGAACTGCTCTTTACCCTGCCCCCTTTCATAAACTTGTCACAGAACTTCAGTTCTGTTCTATAACCAAACCCGGTGTGCAGATCTATTTCATTTTCCAATTTCCACTTTCTCTGGGCTACAGAGAACTTCTCATGATACACAAGTGATGCATGTGCATGAGGTCTCCTGGGCTTTCAACTATTGTTCTGCACAGTGCATTCCAGGCACTGTTACTCCTAGATCATCTCTGTCTAATGCTTATCCCATCTCTTTTTGAAAACCTCCAATGAAGGAGACTTCACAACTTTCTTAGGCACTCTATTTCACTGCCTCACTGTTCCAACAGTGACTTTTTTCCTAATATCCAGTCTAAACCTACTTTGCCACAATTTTAAGCCATTGCTTTGCATCCTACTCTCTGTAGCAAGGAAGAAAAGGTCTCCTCCTCCTCCTCTATTACAGCAGCCTTTCAGATATTTGAGGACTACTATATCCCTTTTCTGCAAGATGAACATACCCATTCCTGTCAACCTTTCCTTGTATGGCTTTCTTTCCAAAACATTTCTGAATTTTTGTTATTGGCCTTTGGGTCTACTCTAATTTCTCCATATACTTTTGAAACTGTGGAGCCCAGAACTGCACACAAAACTCTAGATAAGGCTTAAATCACCTTCTGTCACTATCACCTTCTGTCTTTTACCTGATACTCCTGTTGACACAGCTCAAAACTGCCTTTACCTTTTTTTGGCTGTCATACTGCAGACTCATATTGAGTCTGTGACCCACCAAGTCCCCAGGATCCTCCTCCAGAGCCCTGCCATCTAGGAATGTGTGAAGCTTTGGGTGCTAATTCGATTCAGAGGAGATTTGGCTTGATTCAGTGGCCGAATCTCCAAATCTGAATCGAATCAAGAGACCAATAAAAAGGTCCAAATTGATTCGAAGCTCTCTGAATTGATTCGGAAAAGATTCAGAGAGCTTTGGCAATTCAGGCAGTCCCTGCTTGCTGCTGCAGGGAGCTGGACCTGGACTCCATGCTGGTAAGTAGGGAGGCTGGAGGAGGGGGGGAAGGGACCATGGGGGGGACCCCACCAGGCCCCATCCCCTG